CCTGGGAGCCCACAAGATACCCCAGAGGTGCTGGAACAAAGCAATGCCCAGGCAGCCCCCAGGGGCTCTCCGACCAGCCCAGCCAAAGCCCCCTCCTCCCCTTCCCCAGGGCTACAAGAGCTACAGGCAGAGGAGGGTAAACCCCAACCAATCAGAGCTGGCAGCATAAAGTCAGGGACTGCTAGTGCCACCACCCCTCCCCCAAACACCATGTCTGGCTCCCCGCCCCCAGCTGCCCCCCCCCCCCCCGGAGCTGGGCTGAGCCCAATCCCAGACACGGGGCATGCAGGGCGGGCACCAGGCAGCAGTTTGGCCAGAGGCTGGTGTGGTCTCTCCTCTCAGCCTTCTAGACAGGAAGCTCTTTGGGTCGCCTGAGCATCCACCACGGTGTGGGCGCTGGGGCAACCCCCAGCATGCAGCCCTGGGCACACCCAATGCCAAGCCATTTTGGGGACCTGGAAAGCCGAGCGCCTCCTACGAGGCAGGAGAAATCCGCTTTCAAAGCCTGCGTCCTCGAGGTTATTTCAGTCCCTTTCTTCTGCTCACAATGGCAGAGACAGCGAAAGAGTTCTTCCCATCCGGGGCTGGATCCAGGCTACCCCTTCCCACTCACGTCCTCCCTGCGAGCCAGAGGATTAGCACACTGGACATGGAGCCTGAGGCTCACATCCCTTCTACCAAGCTATGAGCCCCAGCTGGGCCCACCCGGCGTTCAGCCTGCTGGGCCCACCCGATTCACAGCACAGGAGCTCAGTTCCTATCAGCTGTTCCCTGGGTGGGAGCGGGGGCTGCCTGGGCCTGAGCACGCAGGTTGGCTGGGCAGCTGCCATGCAGCGTGGCGAGGGCAGGGGAGTCATGCCAGCAGCCGGCTCAACTAGTGGCTGGTAGGGCCCTGTGACTAGAGAGGCCCAGATTATATCCCTGGCCCGCAGGGGAAGAGTTCAGACATAAATAAATAAACAGCCATTAGGGCCTAGGCAGCCAGCAATAAGTCACGTGGCAGAGCCGCCAGGCACAACACGGGCAAGGCAGCGAAACCTCAGCAGCTTTGCCAGCAGAGCCCGGTGCCATTAAAGTGACGCTCACCCCATGTCACTTCAGGGAACACTCCAAGCTACCCACACAGCAGCAACCAGGGGGACCCCAAGCCGGGACAGAGCACGGCCGGGCTCAGGTTGGAGGCTGCAGTGCACTGGAGGGGGAGCCGAGATGAGCAGAGAAGCAGGAGGGAGCGTTGGGCTTTTGGAGAATGCCTGATCACTGCAGCTTCTGATGCCAAGACCTCGGGGAGGTTCTTAAAATATATCCGGGGAGAGACTCTGCGATGCTGGGACACAAAGGCAGCAATGTAGGTGTTAATCCAAGGCCCTAGCAACAGAACCAGTGACTACTCCTACCCGCCCGCACTCCCGCTGCACACTGTCATTTACCAACATCAGCTACAAAACCCAAAGTTCACACAACGCTCACATTCTGACAGCAAACCACAAGAGGCAGGAAATTCGCAGGCCAGGTGAGAACCCAGGCTGCGTTTATGCAACACGGCTGGGTTTGGTGGTGAGAGAACACTGCACTTGCAGCCTGAACTTGGCAGTTCTGCGCTGGTTCAGTTGCCTCTCGGAGGGGAGAGTCCAGCCTGTGAAATATACACCCAGCAAGCGACAGCCCAGCAGTCTATGCCCTTTGTTCACAATCGCGTCTATCACAGCAGGAGGAGTCCATCATTCTCTTTTGGTGCACAAGGACCTAGTGCCCAAAGGGCCCTTGGCAACAGATGAGCCAGAGCGTGCCAAAGGCGACGGCAGGCCAGACGTGACTCCCAAACCCTCCGCCCTACACAGGAGACAAACATTCCATTCCACACAACTGCCCCGCCCCCGGGGTCAGCAGCTGCAAGCCCCCCACAGTCAAATCCCTCCTGCCCTGCCCCGTCATGGCGTTAGAACGCACAGCCGCTGCTTGGGCAACCCCTTGGAGCCCCTTTGGGATCACGGGCTCTCAAGCATGCTTCATTTGCTCATATAACACTGGCCAACTCTGCACAAGGAGCGGTTTCAAGCTAGCGCTGCGCAGGGACCGGTGTGATCCGCCTGGCGTAGCTACCTGCAGTGCTCGGCTTTACAAAGTGCAGTCCCAGTCCCCAGGGCCACGAACCTCCCCAAGCCACTGCTGAGACCTTCCCAAACAGCTCCCAAACTCCGTCAAAGCTCTGCAGCTGAGCGCAACCTGTCTGCTCCTCCCAGGGCCAGGTGTTGAGCCGAGGGATTTACCGCCCGGACATGTTACCCTATGCCCCGAGAGCAAACTACAGCTACTCGGTCTGCCAGCCCAAGCAGGGAGACACAGCCTCACAGGCTGGGAGGAGGAGAGGCTGCCGGGAAACAACAGGAAATGAAGAAACACCAGGAATGTTTCCAAGGGGGGTGGGGGAAGGTGAAATCACAGCTGGACAAAGGTTACCAGGGATGTAAACACCAAGCATGGCCCTCAGCCCCCACTTCCTGTGGGAAGGGGGCGTCTGGTGGGGGGCAGCCAAAGGAAGCCACACTAGAGGCACAGTCACAGTTTCCCGTGCTTTGGCTCCACTGCACCCAGGCTGGGACTAGAGAGCAATCCCGCCCTGCGACCCACATGGGGAAAGGAGCGACTTGCCCCCACACTCCGTCCCAAGTGGAACCCGGGTACTACCGACAGGAGCATTGACATCATGCTCCTCACTCACAGCCTGTACCCACACCTCCTGGTCACGGAGCCAGCCGGGCTGCCCTGGCAATCACCCCACAGGGATGGAGGCTAACAGCGAGGTGTCCTGCTGGGGCCCAACCAGCCCCGGTCTGAGGCACTGGGAACCTGGCCCCATCCCATCCTGCCAGTAGCCCTCGCTTACTCACCATCTATTCTGCGACACACAGGTGAAAGTACAAGCACCCAGAGGCTCCCTGCCACTGGCAGGTAACCACCCAGCTCAGGGTGCCCCACAGGGACGTCTCATGGCCCCCCTAGACATTAACTGTCGAGCAAGGAGCGAAAGGCTCCCGGGGACCCAGTGCAGGCGCAGTGATAGTAACTGGCCTCTGGGGGGCACCAGAGCCAAGGAGTTTGTTGCACCCAGGGAGTCTGAACCCCAGGGACCAGTGGGCAAAGGGGGAGTCGTGGGGAGGCGGTCAGGAGCAGGCCTGGTACAGGATGGGGGGGATCGGGCCCAGGGCAGGATCGGGTGGGGCCCCCCAGGCCTAGGGGGGGCAGGATTAGGCTGGGGGGGGGCGGAGGGACCAGGCTGGGGGTTGGGGAAAGGGGGAACCCGGGGCAGGGATCGGGGGGGCGGGGGAGGACCGAGGGTTGGGGGCGGAGGGATCGGAGACTGGGCCAGGGGG